GGGTCCACTGGTGGAACCTCTTCTAACCGGTTCGGTAGATTTGACGAACCGGTTCTACCGAACCGGTGCGAACCGGTAGGAACCCACCTCTGCTTTCAACCTTAATCAGCATCAGCTCAGTAAAAACAGAACATCTAGAAAGCAAAACTCCACGTTTCATCATGCTTTGACAGTGATTTCCTATAAGGACTATAGGCAAAGAAGTGCATAACAAGCAGACAACCAAGTGGGGACAAACGCTTAAGAAAAATATCTATATAAATTTAAACTTACGTTTTAAAACAAGGGTCTCCAGACATTAACTGCATGCTGATTAAGATCTATAAATCAGTAAGAATGAAATTTTCTAAAAATTAATTCAAATTGCAATTCCGAAATATGGCAAAAAAAATCTAATTATATTCTATCAAGTGAATTACCAAACAGAGCTAAATGGATTATAGTTACGGCATACAGATCAAAACCTCTTATGAAAATCAATTACAAAGGCCTGATTGAATACCAATTTTATAATCAAATTCATTAACAAAGATTGTGTTATCAAAACCAGAGGAAAAAAGCACATATAACTAACGAGGGAAAAAATGTATTTGGGCAAACTAAGGTGCTATTTATACAATATCCCTAAAATACCCTTAATAATTTAAGCACTTATTTCTGATGGGTTTTCGCTTATTTACTATTTTTCATCAGATATCTTATTAAAACAAACTAATTCTTTTAGGTCCCATTTACGAATGGGGATGGAGGGGAAAGAGGAAGGGAAGTATGAAATATTGGTTGGCTACTGTGCTTTGTTTTCCTATTAGCAATTAGCAAAAAGCTACTTCTAAAAAACCAAAACGGAATAGCAAAAAAATTCCCACACAATTACTTTGAGAATTGAATTGTCCTGCCTTGTGTTTTTGGTATCATAACCTTCCAGTAAGCAGCGGCGAGTCGTACTTCCTGATCCAGCAAACTCTGCCAGGTTAAGATCCGCAAAACCCAACTATTGACAAAAGAATGAAGTTAGTAATCACAGAACAAAAAAGGAAATCAAACACATTTAGGCTTCGTAGCACGCCTTAATCATCTTCGTGCTACATAAGTAAGTTTTATAATGCCTGATATCATTCATAACAATAAGAAGCCTGTACTGTAATATATCCCTAAACTAATATTACAGACATATATGTGAAAATGTGCAATGCGCTCTACATGGGGCAGCCCTTGAAGAGCATTCAGAGACTTGAGAGACCGCCTCCTGCCAATTACCTCCTTGCGACCTATTAGATCACACAGATTAG